ATATTAGCAACTGTAATAAAAGTTGTATATAATTTATTTTTTGTAAAATATTTTCGTTTTTTTATTGCAGTTTAGAAAGCTTTGAGTAGAATTTTGGAATAGGCACAGAAAACCCTGAAGTGGCAATGGCTAAAGCAATTTACTATTGATAGAATAGTCAACCCATCAACTCAGTTTCTTTTGCCGTATAGCTCAGTAAGTGCTTTTATTTAGGCTTAAAACCACTGTTTATAAACAGGTGAACGTCTACTTCATCTGCTGCTGCTATTTTTTTATAAAAACAAGTTGTTAATGACGCTTAAAGTCACAGTTATCAACCCGATAAGCGGGAGGGCTAACTATTTGAAATGCAGTTGGCAGAAGACAAAAGTAGACACGTGGAGGTGCTGAGATTGCCACATCATTACCGAACAGAGTAGATACTGGTATATTTTTCCTGCAAAACCCTGAAAAAATCTTATTTGATCTTTGCTATTCTGCAGCCACTCGGCATTTGTGTTAGCAGACTGAAATATAATCCACCCAGAAGAGAAACAGTAGAAAAATTAGTATTCAAAACTGAAATTGAATTTTTTTATTTTTTTTACTTCGCTAAGTTTCTCTATTTATTTCTCTCTTGACTTTCAAAAATTTCACCATTTTTTCTGCGAATAAATTGCTGTAATCAGGCCAAATTTAATCGGTTAAGTCTCAGGTACATTAGGTTAATTCAAAACAGAACTTTTAAAATTGCGCAGTAAAACAGAAATCGAAGACGTAAACAGAAAACTAAATCTATGTTTTGAATGGTTGAAGTCATACTCATCAACCCTCTTATCGGGTTGATGAGTATAACTTTAAGCGACACTAACAACTTGTTCTTATGAAAAATAGCAGCAGCAGATGGAGCAGTAAGATTGCCGGCATTTACCTGTTTATTTACAGGGGTTTAAAGCAGCCCAGATAAATGCACTTTTACCAAGCAATACTAGAGCAGAAGAAAGTTGGACGACCATTCTGATGCTAGGAAACTGCCATAGTCACTGCCACTTCAGGGTTTTTTGTACCTATTTAAAATTCTAATTAAATCTTTTTGAACTGCGATAAAAAACAAAAATATTTTACGAAAAAAAAAAAAAAAAAAAAAAAAAAAAAA